ACGCCACAAACAACGACTCTATGGTTGACAATCTACACCTACTCTTCCCCGCCAACTATCTACACCTACTAACTATCCAGGGCAGAAGCACCACATCCGGTGTTTTGCCCATACAATAAACCTGGTGGCCAAGTCTTTTCTACGGCTCTTTGATCCAGCGCAGAAAGCTAGTGATGTCGATATCTTGGACCCCACTGTGCAGTTGGCAAACAGAGAAGATGTCAAAGTTGAGCTTGAGTTGACTGATGAGGAGCTTGCAATTTTGTGGAAAGAATTGGCTACATTTGAAGGGGGTAAGAGTAAGAAGGGTAAACAGAAGAAGAAGAAGGGGGAAAGGGGGGGCAAGGATGATGTGGAACCCTTGGACGACATTGATGATGGCGATGAAGACGGTTTACTTGATGCTGCAACACTCCTTGACCATGCTGAGTCATTTGATCTGGAGCAGGAAGTAGCGCCAATTTGGCAGGCACTTGTAAAGGTATGCCTTATCCAGTATTGTATGACCTTCCTAATTTGTATTTTCCCCAGATTTGCACTATCGCCTTCAAGACAATTCACTCAGTGACCAAGCTCCTCCCAGCCTGGTGTGCAACCCTTGCTGAACGTGGACTTCCGATACGAATTATACCTCGAGATGTGAGAACGCGCTGGAATTCCACATTCACAATGCTGGAATTTGCACTCACCTATCGAGACACTATCAACCACTTTACTGGACATCAAGACCATGACCTACGTGATTGGGAGCTCAAATGAAATGAGTGGGAATTGCTTGATGGTCTCAAGGATACACTAAAGGTGCGTGGTATTCAGATCATCAGCTATATAGCTGCTCATTCCTGCACCGGCACAGGTTCTCAAACAGGCTACAGATTTATTCTCTTCTCATACCCCCACTGTCACCGATGTCATCCCTGTGATCAACAAAATTGACAAATTCTTTGCCACGCAAATCGTCGAAAGCCGGCCACAAGGCAACTCCACCCACATTGTAGTCTCAGAGGCCCTCAAGATGAGCCTTTTTGCAGCAAAGAAGACCCTGAACAAATACTACAGCTTAACTGACAAAGCCAGTATCTACCGAATCACCATGAGTATGTCACCTACCTGATATTGTGCACTTATTGACCAGTCCTCACAGTATTACATCCAAAACACAAACTCGAATACTTCCATCGCAATGGCTGGGAAAACACTTGGATTGCTGAAGCGGACAGGCTGATACATGAGCAGCATCACAAGCTGTATCACTGCAGGACCGAACTTTTAGCACAACCAACCCAGAGAGGTGTTGAAAGAAGCATTTCTGGCAGTCAGAGCACAGTATGGACTGGCATTATCTTCTTGAATCTTGATATACGTTACTGACTCATTCATAGACTGTGGCAAGTGATAACATGTTCTGCGATGACGACATTCCAGCCAATTTCAACGAAGAGCAAAACAAACTGGACCGCTATCTGTCATCAGCCACTGAGCCTGCTCCAAACGTCATTCAATGGTGGATTGAGCAACGAAGCACCTTTCCACAACTCTCAAGAATGGCTTTGGATTACCTGAGTATTCCAGGTATGTATTTGTTACCTTAATCATTTGGCTGGCAACCTTCTCATGTCATATTGGTGAAGCTACATCTGTTGATGTCGAGTGGGTCTTCAGCTGCACATGCCGCCTCATCACCTGGGAGCGTAACTAGCTTAGCGCACAGACTATGCAAGCTCTCATGTGCTTAGGATCATGGAGTTTGATGGGTCTGGTCCACGACTCTGACCTGGAAAGTGTTGCAAAGAGTGGGCGTGTTAAACCGAGTGAGGACAAGGAGGACCTTGATGATATCGACATGCCTGAAGACTATGCAGCCATCAAGCATGATGGTAAAAAGGACATTCGTGATTTGGACTCTGAGCCTGGTGACTATGAGTTACCGGGAGACATTGATTATGATAGGTTCTCATCACCATCAGATGATGACAACAACAATGATGATGATGACGGGGGCAAGGACTCTAGTTAAGATTGTTTGTATGTATAGTAGCTAATGTATGCTAAGAAAATTACTTGTGATACCCATGGGGTTTCTTGGGTGTGGTAAAAACCCATTGCTGCAGGGTACGGGTCTTATCCTTGTGTGGGTACGGGTACGGGTTGACCGAAATGTACCCATGGGTGTACCCCTGCTATTCCTTAGTTGTAGACGTTCAACTAGTGTGCTAGTTGATTTCTTGTGTTGATTGTATGGATCCTTTGACAATGTCGAACCCCACTCACACAACTTGGCATATATATTTTGCTTGTTCACAAGCATTTTATAAGCCTCACAGTGCTGCTCTGAAAGTCCAACTCTCCTGCATTGTGGGGGATCAAAATGATAAAAGATGAGAAACATCAAAATAATCTCTATTTGTGGGCATCTCTGGGATAAAGTTCTCACTGACCATCATTTATAATTTTGAACCTTTGGGCATGTACCTTTCCTTGCTGTCATCCTCTTTTCCATCATCAAAAAGTTACTCCAATAAGAAATTAAGCTAGTACAAGACTGAACAAGAATTACCTTGCTTGTTAAGGTCTCTCCTAAATAATTTGCACCTTCCCACCCTTCTAACCAAATAGCTACAAACAACCCTTTCCATTTTCCATGAATTTTCATCTGCCAAGAAGAGGTAGGCAAGGCTCAGGTCACTGTGTCTGGCTTACATAAACACAAGCACACAGAAATCATGTCCCAGTTGTACTTTGGTCTTCTACCCTTCTGAAACTAGGCAAATGGGCTTTTTTTGGGCAAAAAGTTTTGGCTTGGCATTGCTTTGAACAAACACAATATTCTGTGACACATATGTTGCAAAGGGCATTATTGTCCCATTTCGACTGGAAGTTCAGTCACACGTCACGGGCCCTCAAAAATGAACATGTCCAAAAGTTCAGTCACTGGTCACCTCTGGTCATGAACGGTGTGACATAGTAAAATTAAAACCCCCTAAAAATAGTAAATAAGACCGTAAATGGACGTAAAATATGTAAGGAGCTCGCCGCTGTCACCGACAACAAGGGACAATGATTCACACAGTGGCTGACAACCAACCTTGCTTTGCCTGGGGCCTCTACAGCGAGGTTTTTTGCTTCTTCCTGCTCTTCTGGGTTTGTTCCTCCAGCTTTCCACTGCCTGCACTTTGTTTTCTCTTCCTCTTACGCTTGGTCTCCTCAACCTTAGCTTCCCCATCTTCTTCCCTGTTTGATTTGTCATTCATTTCCCAGAGCTCAGCACCTCCGAAAGGCTTTGAAGCATGGACCCGCCTACCCCGCCTTGTAATCTGTTCTGGTGCATCTGTTACCTCCACAGTGGTCTCGGTATCGTTTGCTTGTGTCTTCCGGAAGATGTTCCCATCCTCATCCAACTCTAGACCTTTTTGTAGGCCCTCTTTCCCCTGCTTCACATAGCAGATTACATCACTTGTCATCACATCACTCTCATCAACAACCACCTCGAGGTCTTCAAAGGCGCTCTAGGATACACCACCTTCATTTGTGTCTCCTGCAGTGAGCTTCTTGTAAAGCTCAGGATTCATTGTCGGCAGGTCACAGAGCAATGCCAGTGCTTCTGGAGAGGTCATAGAGGAATGCGAGAGGTTGAAGTTTTGGTTTGGAACACGGCAGAGCTCGAATGCCTGGGTCAGAAGCGTTAGCATGAGATCAGTTGCAAAGTGTGTTATTTACCTTCATTACAAGCTCCTTGTCATTAACCTCCTGCCAGGCATTGAGCATCCATTGCAGAGAACGGTCGTGAAGAGTTTTCAATTTTATGTCTAGCTTGAAGTCAGCAATTGCATCACTCCCCCACACATTCTCTTTCTCCTGCTTGTCAAGCTGCTCCATGATCTCTGCAACATCACAATGTGAGGAGCGCCTCATTGCCAACTTCATAACCCGTTAGATGCCCACGTTGAGTGGTTGAAAGATAGTACAACCACCAGGAACAAACACAATTGTGATGTCCTGATGGTTCTTCTTCATCCAGCCCAGAAACTCCTTGGAACAATGGACAGACCAGCAATCAATACGCCAAATTGCTTGATGTGTCGGTGCCAACCCGAGCTTGGCTCTTGCTGTTCTGAAGTAAGGTGCTATGATGTTATCAACCAAGTCCCTCATTGTCTCTTGGGTAGACCAGTACGTATCTGTTTTCAAGGGTAGAAAGCGGAACCCTAACTGATTCAACTCTTTGTACCCAGGGGACTTGGGATCTGGGCATGACACCTTCATCTTCCCATGAAAGACACATTGCCATGGCAGAATGGTACCATCAGTTGCAATTGAGGGTACAACAGTGAATGCCCGCTTCTCCTCCTGCCCGATGGTGGAAACCTGTTTTTCTCCACTTTTGTTTCAGGTATGGTTGGTACCCTCTTGATAAACTCATTGTGTCTGATCTGTATTGACTCATAAAGCTGCAGGTATTCCATAGTCCCACACAAAAAGGGCCTCTCAAAGAAATGATGCTTCAATTTGTTCTGCGAAATTGTCTGGCAGTTTCTGTGCTGCTTTGGTCGCTTTTTGGCATTTCCAGTCTATCTTGTGCAAATAGGCTTTGACAAACAATTCAGTGCACTTGAATCGACTACCATCAGGGAGTACCGTCTCAAAGATGCTTGGTGCATGCTTCGAAATCAAGGCCACCATGATGCCCCTGATGGCAAGAGAGGTGAGTGCAATGCCTGCACGCCGCAAAGTTTCCAGCCGCTCATTGATGTCATGACGTAGGTCTGGGTATGGCTCCTAGAGCAATATCAATACAGATGTTCAAGACGTGGCTATTCACGCACCAGAATTCCATAACGTGTAATCTGTCCACTATCGTGCCCCTAAGATGAAACCTTAGTGACAAGATATGAAAAGAAGTCCACGGAACAGGTAACTTCACCAATGAAAGGACAAGACACTAGCCCAGCAATATAAAAGGCAACAATTGTCACTCTGCTATATGAACGATAAAAGATGTATACCGTGACCTGGATTCGAACCAGGACCTTCATATAGCTGACGCAAACTGTCCTCGAGGAACGTGTATGCACACAGCATGACGCCCTACCACTGGGCCATCACAGATGTTGAATAGAAGAAGTTGCACTCGAGCATATGCCCTCGTATGCCACGTGGATAAATGCTTCTCAACCAATCCGAATTATTCCATTCAATTAGCATGTGACCAGACAGAATTAGAATAGTCAGACACGCCCATTGGAGACAGGAATAGACACTGTCATCAGATAGCGCCCATCATAATTACACCATGTGACTGCACACACCACACATAGTGTAGACTCATGAAAGGAAAACATGACTCATGTGATGACTCCTGTGCCGATTCATGCAGCGACTCATTCAACGACTCATGTATTGACTCCAACTGACTCTTGCACTGACTCAGAATAATGCAAATGACTCTGCTCAAGTCATTCTGACTCATGTATGCCTTGATTGCAAAGCAGAAGCTAGTGGCTGTGCATGGACCTCATTTAGTATAAAAGGACACTGTAAATTATATATTTCTCTTTTCTTCAAGCAATATACAGATAGATATCGTCCAAGCCTTACGAGTGGAAACGGTAACCACAGGAACCGACGCAGTCTCAAGTATCTAGTGACTTACGAAGAGTCAAGAACTTAAGAGCAGTCCAAGTACACTGTACCAAGCTTCCTTGAGAGAACCTCAAGTAAAATACGAATTCACGATACGAGCAACTGAAGACTAGGTTATTTACGAGACTCATACGAGAGTACTACCTACGATTATATGAGCACAAGAACCTCTTGCCACTGCGTAGAAACTGACCAAAGAGAGAGTCAGTAGGCTAACCTTTAGATACTGCAGGGAAGTGTACGAGATTAAAAGAGATACATATTCCTATGACGATTGAAAGACCTTATATCAGCAACTCGAGTCAAGAAGACAGATTCTACTTGAAGAGCTTGCCTGGAAGAAGACCTACAGTGACAAACACTGTTATACGAGCTACCACAGTTATCAACAACCTATTATTCATTCTCCCATCATATCCTGAAGACACAACTTTACATCTCCAAGACCACCCAGAACACCTAGACAACCTTATACAGCACTATCAACTAGAGGATACAGATATCAGTTGTCAACTACACAACTCTATAAGTATCTAATTTCCATTCTTCTCATTACATTTCTACTAACGTTAAAAACAGTTTCTATTATCAGAGTGCAAAACATATCCTCTACTACAGGAGGGCATATACTCAGCACTTACAACTTTACCCTCACTCACCTTCATCACTTTATTGGACTCTACATCACCACAAACAGCACTCAGGTCTAAATTAACTACCACCGCAACCCACGAACAACTGGACGAGTCCGTTCTAAACCTAAAGTTCCGACATACTCCAGGACGTTGTTCTCTATTTGATTCATTCAACCACTAGAGCACAAAGTTACGTCAACGAGGAAATCCCTGACTCCAAAAGTTTGAAACTTCCTCAATTCTGCTGCATGTAAACTTGAGGCATTGAACAACATGTGTATCTATCTAAATAAAATGTATGACGCTGTTCGACATGGCAGCGAAATACAGAGGGACCGGCCGTGGGAATTCATGATTAGCTCAGCAAAAATTCTAGCCGCTCACAGACCCGAGGTTTGTACCAGACTACATACACACACATCACTTGTGATCGTCAGTGTGTATCGTCAGTCTGGTTCTCGAGACTAAGAAGCCTCCCCCTTTCAGAGGAATATGTTCGTAAGTGACGGAGTTCATTCCATCAAGCCAGTACTGATGGGTGTTACTCTTTAGTGCACAGATGACAGATGCAGGTGGGACTGGATGTCGTTTTACCCTGTTTAGGAGGTCGGGGCTGGTGTTGTCGAAATCAGGGCTTTGGCAGTGTGTCACGTTCATGCCGCAGGGTAGGGGTGCCAACGGGTCGGCTGGCTCCCCGGCTAAGCTGGTTTGTAATGGCTAAGCACCGGGCCGGTTCACAGTAACAGTTTGGCCGCAGCCGATACCATGAACTGGTTCAATTCCGGCTAAAGCGGTTAAACCGTTTGTTAGCCACAAGGTTTTAGGTACGAAAAATGTACTGTAAATTAATCAGTAGATAGATAATACAATTATCTAGACATACATGAATATGATGATCCTACAATACAAGATACAGCGTGAAAATATGCAATGACAGTGGCACTTAATCGTCCTAATAAACTTGAGTCTGGAACTATTTATCACGGCATCATTGACACTACGATGAATGGGTTAGAATATGTTACTCAGAAAACAGTGAATCCGGCTATTTGGATACTGAGTATGTGGCTGTGAACCTGCCCCCTGGTCTTGTGACCTGGTTTTTTGTATTGTTTTTACATTGTTTTCACATTGTTTTCACATCATTTTTACATCATTTTCACATCAGTTTCAATAAGGGGTTGAGCCATTGGCTTAGCCAGTTCGAACTGGTTCAATGCCGAGCGGCTAAGCACATTAATGGCCCTGGGCCATGAGCCGTGCCAAGGCTCATGGTTCAAACCGGGCACAACCGTAGCTGACCCGTTGGCATCACTACCGCAGGGAAGACAGAGACTACTCCATCAGAGAAGAGAGAAGATAGAGCAGTGTGAACGACACTACTAGTAGTGGTTGATTTTCTGCCTAAAGCTACGGTACTGGAATACATGACAGTTTATATACTGAGTAATGTACCGGGAGCTGGAAGGGATGTGACGGCCCGGGATGATCTGATGACTACTAGGCAGAGTAGATGGAAGAGATATGAGCCTGAGAGTCATATGGTGCATGAAGTATAAAGGAATGTACATATGAGGAATAGATGCCAAGATGATAGGAGAAAGGTCGGGATATGGTAGATAAGTGCTCCAAGGTTCCGGAATACTGTGGGAAAATAGCCCAGAGGGTCCAGAAGACAAGGATAACGCTCCAGAAGGGCATGGGAAAACTCCGGAGGCAAAATGTCGGAAGCAGGAAGGAAACTAGTGGAAATAGTACTGGAAGACAGGGAAATGAGTAGGAGTTTGCACAGTCATTACACAGTGCATGAAGAAGGACATTTCTGAGGACTCCACCTGACATAATGCCTGAGGCAGAATCACAGGAAGTTTGTGGATAAGAAGGGTGCTGATAGAGCTGTCCAAGGGGATGACATGGGCAAGCATGTGTTGGAAATATAGAACGTTTATATTTACATATGCATGCCACATCTTAGAATATCTCTTGACCCGCTCGTATCATTTTGTCTAACCCACTTACTTACAGAAAGCCACAGAAAGCCACAGTTACTTCTATCGCGTCTATACTTGTACTATTAGGTTTATCTTTCATCCTCACTCATGTATAAAAGCTAGACAGAAAACCCTACAATAATCATAGACTTGGTTTACACATCTATCTCAACCCCTCTGGTCATCAGCTATCGTTTATTCGCGCTTTTCTGCACTATCGCTGCTAACAGAGTTCAATCTAAAACTCTGACAGGTTATGGGCCCCGGTCTATAAACCTTAGCCGAACCAGAGTAATACCGATTTCATATTGGTATAGTGGCGAGTTTGGGACGCCGTAATATCCCCAAGAAACAAAGAACCAAGATCATACATCGAGTGGCGAGCAGGGACGCCGGAATATCCCCTACCCAAAGCAAAGGACTATTGGACTAGTGTATGTCCGATAGAGGTAGCCGTTATCAATCCAGAAGCGGTACCCCAGTATCAGGAACATTCGATCCAGAACAAATATTACGAGGATCTAGGAACCCCAGCAGGAATCCTAGTAGGCAACCTACACCAGTAGGCAGTAGAACAGGCAGTCCATCGGGACAGCAACAGAGCATATCATCACATCCATCGAGGAATCCATCGTGTATACCTTCTAGGAGACAGAGTCCAGTTGGAGGATTGCACACGCCACCAGCATCTTCTGCACAAACCACACAACTCCGAACAGATCTAATCTGTGTCAATTGGTCACACCAGTTTGACATCGATAGATTAAGAGATTGCCATTTAGATCTCAACAGACGCAAGTGGTATCTTTGCACAGAGCAACTGTGTCCAAACAGAAGAAATCGAATTAGTGCTCCTAAGGAAGCGCTACTAGTTGGAAATTTTAGGGATTGTGACGATCACAACGAAACAGTAGTTCGAGGAAACGTCCTACAAACAACAGTACCAGAACCACAACCATTAGTATTCCCACCAGCGGGAACATCAGCTTCACAGGAAGAAACTGTTGAAGAAGAGATCGAACTTGGTGAAGAGTTCGAACAAGGATTAGGATTTGGTGAAGAATCCGATAAAGAAGAACAGGACCTAGAACAGGAACAAGAGCAGGACAAAAAAGAATCAGAACAGGAATCAGAAGGTGATACTGATAAATCTGTATCTGACGAAGACAAAGGAACACCTGCCGACGAAGAGAAGGACAATCAACTAGAATCACCCAGCATAGGTCCCAAACCCAAACCGAGAACACCATCTCCAAAGAGACCACCACCAAAGGAAGAATCATTTGATTCAGACGAAGAAGAAGACAATATGGCGTCTAAAGCGATTAAGGCATTCGATAAAGTGCCGGAACTAAAGCATGATGGATCGAATTGGTCCATGTGGTCAACAAGGGTAGAAAGAGCTACCAGATCAGTTGGTTACAAGAAATATCTGGAGAATGAACCAGAAAAGGACAACGACAAGGAGGCAGATGCAGACGCAGATCTGTTAAATGCCATTATAGGAAAACTCCCGGATACGATATTCAGGAGATACAAGTCAACAGAATTATCTCATAAACTATGGGAAGGATTAAAGAAGGACTACGACACGAAGAATCCTTTTACGGAAGCACATTTGGAACGGAAACTCTACACCGCAACCTGTACCGACATTTCCAAGGTCAACAAGCACATTGATGATCTACTTGAGATCAGAAATGAATTGGAAGGATTGAAGATCAAAGTTTCGGATGATCAATTCAAGAACGCCCTCATAGCTTCAGTGCCAAATTCACTGACTGCAACAATCACTGCACTTGTTACTGTTTGTAAACAGAACGAGGAGACATTGACAGTC